AAGGAAACATCACGACACAAAATTGAGCAATATGTGTAGATGCATACAGAGGATAACAATTGTCACCTGGCCTTAGATGAGTTGTCATCTCCTTGCTATGGCAGTTACAGAACGGGGATCAATGTATGCATATGTTAAGAACAACGCCGCGGCATATGGCAATGATACTTGAAGAAAGTTTGCGTCGTAGTCATAAGTTGTACCTCTTTTTTTTTTAAGCTTATTCAGTGGTGTCTGTTGGTTCTTCAGTGAGAGACCTTGCAAGTGCGGGAAACACAACAGATTGTAACAAAAAAAACTAGATGCACATTGAAATATAGGCATTATTGTGATCACTAACTAGTGAGCAGTAATTGCTGCGCTGGCCAAGTGGACCTTCGAGAGGGGAGACAGATGTTGCCATACTCTCGACACAACAACTTAGTGTCTAAGAATACAGTTGCTATTTCACTTGAGGATTTGGCACTGTCCTAAGAGAGATGTGGACAGTTTAAAGCACTGTAGCTGCAGCCTCAAACAACAAACCCGTCTAGAAAAATAACCCACAAAAACAACAACTTAAAATTAGCACAAAAGGCTTCGCAATCTTGTATGATTGGTTCATGGAGTCACATATTTGCAACAATGTGAGATCCATAAGCTACAACACTTTTGCCTCGGGCAATTTGAACACCAAACTAACACATGCAGTATGATCAGGGAAAACAGTCATTAAAAATGGAACGTTTATATCAATAAAATTTGGTTGTGAGTCTGCGCTGTGTCTGCCTTTCTTGATCTTATTACTTTACCCTGTGAATCCTACAAACTTTTGACTCCGTTTTTGTCTATTCCAGCATGCATTTTATTATAGACTGCCCCCCAGTCAGTGCAGACTATAATGACTGACATGTTGAGAACGGCAGGTGGTCCTTCAGTCACCCCCACCCAGCGCGATTGGACGTCTCCACGTGCGGTATTCTCGGGTTTGCACAACATCCCACCAGGCTCCAGCTGGGACCATCGACACTCCCCGGATACAGCCCAGAGGGATCCCACATTCCAGTCCTTACTGCCCGGACACGGGCAGTGTAAATCAGTGCTGCGGGATTGCCACTCCAGAGTTGGAATGATTCCGGAATGATTCCGCACTTTCCCGACCACGGAAAGGAATGAAGTGGGGGCAGTATACTGGGGGGAATGGAATGGGAATGCAATTAGATGCATTTTGCCCGGGATTGAATAGAAATTGAATAGGGTCGGCTGATGGCACAGTTTGCTAGCTCATAGAAATGGCTCTTGAAACAGCATTATTGCATTGGAGGTGACCGACGGCTTGATTGTCTCACTGGTTTAATGATCATTAGAGGATGAAAATGGCAGCGCCCTCAGTAGAGCAAACAAAACTGAATAGTTGTAGACGGACAATATGTCGTTCCTGGTGCCGCGAGACACGACAAAGCGGCTGTTGCAGTCGCGCGATTCTCATGTCGCTTTAACGAAGGAGTCGAACCAACAACCGGAGAAAAACCGTTACTTTTAACTGAACCAGAACAAAACTGCAAATGAAATCGAGCATTTGATATTAAGCCACAAATAGAACGGAACCGTAATCTCATGTGGCAGTTACCGGCTCATTGGAAACGGTTTGGCTTAATTAATAGTGAATTCCGCGCGCAGATCTCGAGCGCTCCAAAAGCGCTCCATTTGGAGCGCGCATATTCCGCTCGCAGATCTGGCTCAAGTTGGTCATCTTCCGCTCGTAGATCTCTGGCAGCGGCCGCTCCACGGAGCGCCCCAAACTCCGCCGAACTTGCTCTGCGGGTTTTCACGGATCTCTCCGGAAGCTGACAAAGCGGCCCACGTGATTTCCGTCTAAATCGGCGGTGCGCATGCGCGGCGAGGTTGGGGAGATCGGCGGGCCGGTCGGGTCGTGGAGTTGGATCTGTTCGGGTGCGTCGGTTGTTTACTCTGGATTGTGACGGCTCGAACGCTTCTACCTCGCGTAGATCAGGGATAAAAAGCCGGGAATGTGGAGCATGGCAAATCGTAAGCGCTGACGTCTGTGATCGTGAGAGGAAGAACGACAGAAAAGCCGGAAGCAGACGCAAGGTTAGGCCTATTCATTTTGCAGCCAGTGATTGTTTACCTTTTTACACTGCATTCCCTCGGCGTTTTCCCGTGAAATAAAGCAAGAAGGGGGTTGGGCAACGACCGCGCAAGTGATGGTTTGTTACCTGTGTTCATTAAAGTCGTACTACAAATCTGAACTCCACCGCTGGCAATCGCTGCATGTCCGTTCCCCGCCGCTTCGAGGCGGCCGAAAGGTATGTGACGGTGCCGAACGCGGACGTCTTCGTTATTTGTGACTGCGCCGCGGTACGTATAATTTCGCCCGGCCTGTGTCGCGTGTTACTTCTGCAGCTAAGCAGTGACAGTCGTCACTGGTCGTCGGAAAGATCAGCCGGCTGAGGCGTTGGTGGGCTTGTCAAGTTCGAGCAGCGGCCATTCTGTACGGCGGAGGGAGAAGGGGTGGGGAGGGGTGTGGGGGAGGTCGCTCCAGAAATGCAAGTTTATCTTCCCCTCGTCGATTCGGAGCGGGTCCCACGGAGCGGAATTTTGCCTCCCTCGCGGATTTTGGAAAGCACTCCAGATCTACGAGTGGAATTCACCATTAGTGTGAGCCGCGCCTTCTTGAGGGTGGCGACGCGAAGTCAATTAAATATTCCTGACGGTGGCATCAGCGGCTTAGTTTGACTAAACAAACGGCAGCAATGAAATGGTGACAGCTCAATAATAATGAAACAAAATAAGCATATTTCATGTCTATGTGCATCACGAACTCGCCTGGGCTAGTATATGTGGTGGCGTACACTTCTATTCTTTGTTTTAGGACGGACCGCAAAGGATGCTACAAGTCACCAGAGCCAATAATAGCTCGGAGGGTGTCTCGTGTCCTACTAGTTGGGAGGATCGACGTGGGGATCGCTAAGTCGCGAGACTAGAAAGTGTTGATTGGCCAGTGTAGCTCGTGGCGTCCATCGCAGTACATCGTTAGATGAAACAGTACATCTTACTGACGAGCGGCTGAAGTGCCATTATTTGAGAGTGCGCGGGTGTGCACAACTTTCTGTTAAGCAAAATTCCTCAAGGAAGAAGAAAACGAGCCTAAACATAACAATAAAACCAAAAAATTGACGGCTGTCAGCGCGTTTGGTTTGCGGTGGCAAAATCTGTAGGCGCCGAGAGGCGAAGCCGCATTACTGCGGCGCCGATGGCCGGGACGTCGCCCAAAGTCCTGGACGCTGCTTGAAAAAAGTTTTTTTCTGCGTTTTCAGAAACAACAAGCCGCCTGTTGTCGTTTATGTTCTTTTTGTTTTCACAGTCTCTCGACCGCACCTCGCTGTCTTTCTGCTCTTCAACTCAGCCGTTCGAGCAGGTCGTTCGAGCGTACGATGTGGGTATAATTTGCCGTTTCAACCTGGACGAACATCCCCGGCGTGCGGTCGTGTATCGACTGCGTGATGCCCGTTAAAGACCTACATTCAGCAATCGTACCGCGTTGGCTAAATTTCTTGTCTACAGTGGGTAACAATGTCGTCATAGTATGACGGACGAAACTCCTGTTGTTTAAACAACTATACGACTAATTTGTTTTTCAGGGTAGTTTGCGAGTACTGTGCATGCTACCGTCACGACTCACGGTGTCACAGTGCGTGCTGGATGATTGACTTCACATGCGAGTATTGTACTTTAATAGGGTTTCCAAGTGCCTGTACAATGACGTAATTTTCATATAACGGCATTTCCATTAAAAGGTAAAGACCACAAAACTAAATTAAGCACAAATTTGTTTTCCTTCCCTCGTTTCTGCAGCAGATCTTCCGATGAACTATTTTTTTAATGCAGACGATGCGGTGATGAATTCGCCTTTTCTTCTCACTGACTGGAAGTTGACTGTTCTTTTGTTTCTTGAACCGGTTTGAATTGGTTCACGCTGGGTGGAACCGGTGACCGAACCATTATTTCAAAAGCATCACTGAACCAGAACGGAACCGGAACAAAATGCAAGGCTACTGAAGTCTCAGCTTTTGAACCCATCCGATCTTCTAGTGTTTGTATTGAACACAAATAAAGAATTGGACGGAATATGTTAAGAAATAGCAAGCATTGTGCAGCAAACGTAAACGTTCACGTTTTCAGGCAGGCTTCATAATATGGTGCTACACTCTCCTGTGATGGCACTGTGTAGCGATTGCACTTTGTCAGCGGTTTTCTTTTCTTGCCGCAGTGCATGGAGATTTGGGAAAGGTATGCGCCCTGAAACTGAGGGAGCGGAGAAGACGAGAGCGCGGGGGGACGTCTGAACACCGAGCTCTGATTGGAGAGATTAGTGGGTAGACCAAGAGCTGTAGCTGCCCTCGTCTTCACTGCAGTCGTCGAACCCGTCTGAATGCCAAAGCTAAAAGCCAGACGCCGGCATTCTGCGTTCTGATGCATTGTGTAGTGAAGACACAGGCAGCTAGCTTTAGGTCTAATCACTAATCATTTCAATCAGAACTCGGCGTTCTAAAGTCACTCTACTCTCATCTTCCTCAGTTTCTCGGCAGATACGCGGCGTGGCTTGGAAGAACAAACGAGCGGTACTGTTGCGCAAATATTCGAAGCCTTGGACAAACTAGACATTCTTAAGGCCTTATCAGACAAACAAAATGCTAAATATGTATCTGTAAAGTATAACAAACGCTTGAAAAAAAAAAGTGGTTTTCAATGTTTGGCGTTTGTTGCCACTCACGAGCCTTTTGCGCTAGATCGCGCGATCGATGTTTGCAGTGACACCAAGTGCCCCAAAGTGCTTTGTGCGACCACCCTTCGGCTTTCTAGAATTAGAGCTTTGAGGAAGCATTCACATGCTTTTTCACTCGTCTCCGCGTTTGATAATGTCAACAGCTTTGTGATCCTTTTTTTCCAGTAACGCAGTGTGGCTGTCAGTGGCTGGCCATTTTCCTCACTTTTGGGAACTAGAGGAATGAAACACTCTGGAATGGAGTTGGAAAGGTTCCCATTCCGTAATACTGGTGTAAATAAACTTTTTTTTTCTCTCTCTCCAGCGGAAGTTTTCTGTCTTCAACAATGCTTCGGCATTTCGCGAGCCTCACGCGTGCATGCGTAGCCAAAGCACCACGGAAGGCAAAGGACCCGTCCTGGAGGTCGAACATTCGAAAGGGAGCCAAACAAAAAGCGCCCAGTGTTGCCGTGCACGTGTGTGCGCGCCGCCGACACCAGCCGCTCGGGGGAACTACGAAGAAACAGCCCACTCACCCTGACGAAAAGCATCCCTTGGTTGTCGGGGTGCCAATATTGCGCGTCGTCATTTGCCGCGACCTGGCTCATGACAAACATCTTGAGGGAATACGACGAGAGATTCCAGCCGTACGAGTCCCTCATGGCCTGGAGAAAAATTCAACAGTCACACTCTCGTTCGCCAGTCTGGCACTGCGATCTGACAATTGAAAATCGGCTCGCTTAGACGTGCAGTCGAACGCGATGAATGGGAGATGGCACTACTCGATCCCCACCAAATTTGACGGGAAAATTATGGCATCGTGTCATGCGACACTGACAGCCCAATGACATGACACACCATATTATATGACACCTTTGTGCTACGTGACACCAAACGGTCGCATGGCAATGTGATGTCTTGTGACACCGTGCGACGCCACGTGAGAATGAGCTGTTGGACAAACACGACCCAGAAAGATCCGCGGAGGGTTCCCAAATAAAGCCGTAATTTTAAAAGTGCCGACTCGACAAAACAGATTGTCTCGAGTTCACCACTGCGACATAACGAATGACCGTCGACTTCATTCTTTAGGCAAACTATAATCTAAATTGTACAAAAACAAAAGAAAGAAAAAGAATGTTTTTTGTCCGTGCCCCCCCCCCTCCCCCAAAAAAACATCTAGACCCACTTAGCCTCTCATTTCCATAGGGATATTTCTTTACTCAAATGGTGATTATTCTCCTTATAGTGCTAACAAACACCAAACAGATTGCAACGCCTTTCAGTAGAGGGTGCGGCGTCCCCTTGCCAAAACCATGCAGCTAAGTTTTCGTCTACAGAGGTCCTCTCACGTACATCTCAGAATGTTCACGGTACCTTGAGTAAGCGAATGATGGGCTTCACACAACCCTTGTCTTCGATGAGCCTCTTTTCGATGTTCGGGAAGTGCAGCCGCCATAGGTGGGACTTGGGCATGGACATGGGAGGCTTGGGAATCAGGAACCAGTTGGAATCCTTCCGTAGAGAAGAAGATAGAAAAGTGAACACTAAGATAACGAGGAACTCTATGCAAAAAAAGTTAATGCGAGAAAACAACAAAGCCTCAGTCCTAATCAAGAATGAGAGAACTTAGAATGTCATAGTCGGTTTCGTCTAAAAAGAAAAGTTAGGTAAACTGGTCGCTGGGCTATTCGAATCTCAGCCAGCGATAAGCTCCACACAGGCACGTAGCCAGGGGGGTGGCCCGTGGGGCCCGGGCCCCCCCCCCCCTCCGAAATCTTCGATTTTGCTAGGACCTCCTCTCCCCCCTCCCCCTCATACAGCATTTTGTCATGGGCGGCTCCCCTCCCCACAAGAAAAAAAAAATCCTGGCTACGTGCCTGGCTCCACAGTTCCAATTGTATGGCGTGTGTCATATATTCTTATCTCTAGTCATGGCGTCATCTTTCATGCCCCCTGGTCATTTCTGCGTGATTCTCTGTGACTCATAATCTCAGGGAAGGTTGGCTCCTACAGGTAAGAATAAAAGTAGGTTATGTATGGGCATGACCTGCGACTAGTGTTTTGGTCACACATCCAGCTGCTTTCCACCTGTATGATGAAAATAATCTCCTCGAGAAAGGGAACAAGGGGACAAAGGGCGAACACAAATCTCCGAACATAGCAAGGTGACTGGTGCGTGACCGAAGAAATCCGCCAGCTCCTGGATCGCACCAGGGACCTCTCCATTTCCAATGGAGCACTCTACCAACTGAGCTAACCAGGAGTTAGACGTCAGCAGAGCAAACGGGTTTTATCAACTGCCACTAGTCTAACACTAAGAAGGTCGAACAACTTGCACTTTTAAGGTTGTAATCGATATGGAATTACATGGAAATGTGCAAGCGAGCTGGACAAGAGTGCAGAATGTAATACATAGTTATGAGCTACAAAAGTGTTTTTATACCTTTAAAGAGCGTTGAGAATACTAACTCATCTTTCTGAAACAGCTTATTTCCAAAAACGATCAGTTTCATACCAGAAACAATTCTTTGATTGTCATCATATCCGTCACGGGGTGACATGGGAAAATATTCTGTCCCCAATCGCCTGCTGCCGGTTCAAACATCTCCGTGTTGTCTGAGTTGCTCGTCCGTTTCGAGCCAGATGCGATCGGAGCAATTCGTGTCGCACAAGGGAAAGCCGAGGGAAGGGCTCGCCTGCAACGCCGTAATTACGGGGAAAGTTGTGTCGTCTCAAGCGGGCCTATGGGCGCCCTGCCCCAGAGGTTGCCCATCCCGTTCTTCTGGCTAAATATCTATAGCATCGTCATTTTAGACCAGATCGCTTGCACCTTACATTCATTTGCATTATCAATCCCATCTGTCTCTCCAAAAAAGATTACTACAAAAGTTGCACGACCGTTTAGATGCCTTCCCGTTGTCGAACCCGCGTGTCTGTTTTTATTTTATTTTTTATTATTATAAGGGCGGCAGTCGAGAGCAATGACAAAGCTGTACGCATCCAGGACTAAACTCAAAATGTTCTACAAATGCTCACCTCTGGTAACATATTAGCCATCCAGCCTTTCTTCTGAACGCCTGTGGGCCAACTAGGGTGGCGAAATTCTATCACAGGCACGAGGTCCACGTCAATCTGGTTGCCATCTTTGAGTTTGATATAAAGTGTCACGGCAGGGCCGTGCTGCCTCAGCCGTATCTGAAAAAGGAAAGGTAAAAAGAAAAATCCTCTCCCTCCCTATTTTCTTTACAAACGGAAAATCCTTAATGCCTCAATAGCCCACCTTCCTCTCAAACAATACAACTTTAAGCCTGTCCCAGCTGGAAATTTAACTGCCATGCATGCATAACTCCAGCCAAAATTTCAAAGTCACACACACACAAAAAAAAGACAAGATAAGTTTGTTATGAAAACCCTGCAGGGCCGAAGTCTGGTTGATGCAGGTGCGTCCAAGTGTGATAGACTATGTTAAAAGCGCGTGCGACCACTTACGATACGATAAGAGACTGCCACGCCATCTATCGGTTTCGGTAGACATCCAGGCAGCATTCACATATCTTTCCTTCACCAAGCACTTGAAATAATTGTTACAATGTTTATATGGCGTTTAGTGTTTACGGTAAATATTTTAGGCCCCAACAAATAATCCGCAAACACTTTTTTTTTGTACGGGGAAAACCGAAATTCCCTGATTCAGACCTGCCCTTGAATAGGAAAATCCCTGGTTAGGGGGAATGAAGTCCCAGATAAACATTCCAATTATCCAATGGGGATTTCAACTCGTTTTAATTGGAACCAATTGGTGTTTGTGGGTTTTAGAGAGAATCACGGTTGCAAATCGGTCTCACCGATTGGAATAAGTTTTCAAGTTGGAACCTGAATGGGTTCCAAATTGTTTCGTTTGGTTCCCATTGGCAGTGACCAAGTTGTTGTCCCAAAGCCTCACTGGTACCAATGGGAAATTCGAATTCGAATCTTATTGGAATTTTCAACTGGGATCTGTCGCATTGTTTTTCGTGACCCCATACGACTGTTGTTTTCGTTGAGAACCACGTCCCTCGCCCCGGGCCCACCGTCTCCTGCTGTCAGTACGGCATTGACGTTTTTTCGAGTATTTGGGTCACGGATGTAAGTTCCATGGACCCTGGGAGGGGACACATATTTTTAAAGATATTCCCCGATTTCTGACTCGGATGTTATAAACACAGATTCTTAAGGAGACAGTAAACCCTAGAAAAACACTTCCAGTTTGAAAAAAAGAAATACATCCCCGAAACACGGAAGCTGACAGTAAAATCCCGTTAGGCCCGCTTCAGACGGCGTAATTTCTCCCAGCAACTTGACGTCGCAACGCCAGCGACACGAGCCGTCCGCGTTAACTCGCCGCTACCAATTGCTGCGATTTGCTATCATCACCATTCAATTTTATTTTTCTTGCAGTATTTAGATGCACGGTTATGCACTACAAAAGTGTTTTTATACCTTTAAAATTCGTTGAGGACACTTATTCATTTTTCTGAAACAACTTATTCCCCGAAACGATCAATTTCAAACCAGAACCAAGTCTTTAGTTGTCATCATCGCCGTCACGTGAAAATAATGCGTCCCCAATCGGGTGCTGACACTTGAAACGTCTCCAAGCTGCCCGAGTTGCTCCTTCGTGTCTAGCCGATCTGAGCAGTTGGTGTCGCAGTAGGGAACGCTAGGGGAAGTGCTCGCCACCAACACCGAAATTGCTGGGAAAGTTGTTTTGTCTGGGCCTAAGGGCGCCCGGCCCCGAGAGATCGCCCGTTTTACTGGCTAAATGTCCGTTGCATAAAAATTCCTAAACATCGCCTCATCCTCGATTTTCACAGGTCATCACTTGATGTCCCAAGTGAATCACGTCAACCGTGTGATCTGAACGCCCAACATTGGTGTTCGCGCTTTTTGTCTGCGATCGGCGGGCACGATATTGGTATACGCGAGTTTGTAGCCGGTGTCTGCGTGTTTATCGCGCCGTGAAACACGATTTTGTTGCATTCGCAGTCTGTGGTATCCCTTCCCGCGACACAAGAGTTCGTAGCGAATCCCCGCGTGTTCATCGCATTGTGAAACACGAATTTGCCGTGTCCCTAGTCTGCAGTATCAGTGACTATGGGTGGCATTCACTGGCGGCCATAGCTAAGCTCGCTGCTGCTGAGCATGTGCTCACGGCCAGCTTCCACAGCGCTTCCAACACGTAGATTGCATAGACCAGGGGTGGCGAAACTGCGGCTCGAGAGCCGGATGCGGCTCTTTTCTGGTCCAAGCGCGGCTCCTGGATCCCTCGTAAAAGGACCCCCCCTTTCGCCCCTTTCCTTGTTTCCCCAGGAAAAAAACAACGACAAAGGATTTCAGAATAAAGCACACTGCAGCTTGCAGTTTGACAGCCTTGTACTCCCATACGTACAGTCGTACAGCCTTGTGCCCCCATACGTACCGTCAGACTCTGAGGAAAAGTTAAATTTGCCCTCCACCAACCCCCCCCCGCGGCTCTTAGAAGTTCCGTGGTTTTGTTTGCGGCTCTTAGGCCAGGCCAGCCTGGCCACCCCTGGCATAGACCATCAATAATGCATTCTTTGGGAGACCACAAATAAAGATCTATCCCAAACATGAGATGTGAGCGGTGACCTCAAATACGGCGTCCAGTGAATGCCGTCGGTCTCTTATAGGTAGTGCCTAGATTTGATCTCGTATGTCCGGCAGAGCCTTCAGTCTAGCAATACACAGGGCGGAAGTGACTTCCTGAAAGGACGCAGTGACGCACGTGGTCACGTGACGTGTTCGCAGCGTTGGATTGGCCGAGGTGGCTTGTAGCGTCCGCTGCGATACGCCGTGAGGTAGGAATTAAAACACCGTCACTCGGCTTATTTAAAAATCGCCATGTACCTCTCGCTGCCTGTTTCTATGTATTTGCGTATTTCTTCGGCGATGCGGTAAACATTAAACAGATTTCTCTGTGCGTTGGCCTCGAATCTTGAAAGCCACTTGACCCAAAGATTATAAATATTTTACCTTATCTGAATAGGTGGTATAACTACGGTCTCACAAACTTTCACCTCTGCATACTTCGCATAAAGCATAACAAAACATAAATGTCTGCAAAAGTTAGCATTTCGATAGACGCTTTCAGGCAGCTGTTCTTGGGCGCCGCCATAACCGACCTTCAGTTTTTGTTTCCTCTTATTCCGTCGGCTCCACTTTATCATTACCACAGCAGGACAGGTTATTGCCATTTTAAGTTTTACTGTGTCCTTCTTCCAGCGTAGGCCCTTGTGGAGGCTCGCAACGCCCGCTTCAGTGCTTCGGCATCTCGGTAAGACAAGAGAAGGTCGGCTATGGCGGCTCAATCTAGCGCGCGCGGAAAGCGTCTATACAATGCAACCCACTTGTAACGATGATGAGAAAACCCAAAATTTTATTCGTTAAAATCGTCGTATCTGAACTAGAAACTGATCGTTATCGGCGGTATATTGTTAAATGTGGTATGGTCATAAGTGGATTGTACTGTACGACGTTTCATCTTAGGACAGACCGCAAAGAATTTTGCAAGCCGCTGAAGGCAATCCAATGGCGTGCGAGCCTCACATGACCTTTCAGAGTAACAGCAGTGACGTGTGTGGTGCGAAGTCTCGGGATGAGATAAAATTTAGTTAAAAAGAAGCTTTTTAATATTGAGTGCCATCTGGGGGCTCAGAAAGCGGTTTCACTTTCAACATACTGATGGTGGTCATAAAACTGCAGCTTATCGGGCACCGTCACCTTCGCACGTCAGTAGCACGCGAGAATAATCCATTCTTGATTTGTTTCGGTTTCCATTATGCGAACACAAGAACTGATCCATGAGCCCCTCGATTCAATTTATGCCAGCAAAGGGAGCCAAACTGGTGCCAAGAGATTGGTGGGACCAGACCCCGAAATAAACGCTTATGCAGCCATTTTATTTAATTCGTGCTTTTTGTTATACTGATATCTCGCACGTACAGGCCTCGAATATGTCCTCCACTTGCTAGTACATTCTTCAACTTCTTTCTTCATCGGTCTCAATGAGTCCGCCATTAGGTTGGCATACACCGAGATGATGATGGTGATCAAAGTTGTTACACTGAAATTAGCAAAGGCAAAAAGGGTCTATTGGGTGCGTCGAAACCAAGTTTCGAGCTCTAGAGCAAAACAGAACGCACATAGAAAAACCGACTCGTGCCTGGTGAAATCCGAGGGCCCAACCACAACTGCCGCGGACACCCCTCACCTTTTCAATGGCCGAGCAGGGCCCAGAGGAGACGACGTAGGTCCCGAGAACAGAGCCGAGAACCGATTCGAGCCACCGCGTGACCCTCTCTGGAACGAGCCTCCTCTCGCCATCCATCAAATCCAGCAAGAGCGGAACCCACTTGGCGTCTCCTTCCCGGTGCAGCCTGTCCACGGCTGCCGTACTGACTTCGTAGCCGACGTGGCCGGGACATCCGTCCGACGCCTGGAAGGTGCGATTGACGTCGCTCAGAGGACGTACCTGGTACGTAGTTCCGCAAGGTACGGCCACTGACGACGTGAGAAAGGAAGGGATGAGCTTCGCTTGTCTCGTCTCAAGCTCCTGCTTCCTACCTTCTACAATGCTTCAACGTAATGTGCACTTCGAGAACGCACGTGACGCCAAAGCACTGTGGAAGGCATGGAGCATGTGCTGGAGGTTGGGCATTCGAACAACATGCCCTGCCGTTCTCGCTCTGTAAGGGACTCAATCATAATCATCACCAAAGCGCTCGTGAAGGACTAGCGACGTCCTACGTATCCTGCGGTATGCAATCTTTCCTTTAAAATATGAAAGACGTTTACAAATCTCTGTAACGCGAAATTAGAGCACAGATCTTGAGGAAAAGGAGGGGAGAGTAAGCCCCTCTTCCTCCTCGATGACTTTCTCTCCTCCCACAGTTTCCCCGCTAAATTTAGCTGAAAAGTTGATGCCAGGCGACCGCAACAGCAATTCAATTCCCCGCTAAATGTGAATTGAATTGCTGTTGAGGTCACGTGACGTTAATTTGCCTGCTAAATTTAGCGCGGTTAGGCCGACACCGCGACTCCCGGAACCTGGCGCCTAAGAGCTGCGCTCTGAAAGCACGTAGCTCGCCCTTGAATTGGGTTCTTTCTTGTCCTTTTTCTATCTCGAAATAGCCTTTCAGAAAGGCGACTTAGTCATTCAACAGCAACCTGACTCGCACAAAATGAGACAACCGATTCTATTGAAGCCGACACTTGATTTGTCAACTGCCATGTTGTATCTTTCTGCAGACTGGTGCAATAATGTGAGACAACGGGTTAAATATTACTGTAGGGTAACCTGCACTAACACCTAACTGCACACACACAAAAAAAAAACATTTGAAAGGACAGGCCGATGGTCAATATGTTGACTCAATAAACACGCTAGTAAGTGATTGTCCCCTTTTTATATATATTAAAAAAAAACGTCTGTTTGGTTGCTTATGACCACGAATGACTTCACCCCCGCTGCTTTAATCCCATGATACCGTCAATATACGTAAAAAATCAATTTATAATAAACGATGGTTGTCACCGGTGCAGCTGCAAACTTACGATGAATTCGTCCTTCTCGAAAGGTAGGTTCAGCACAAGGTCAACGTCAAACTCGTCTGCCTTTTTGATCCGCAGCCCGTCATAGTAGCTTCCGGTGAATTCGCACCTGGGAAGCAGCACATAGAAATATGAGCCCACACGAATGTTAGTGGGCTCTCAATCAATGGTTCCCACTAGTTTTTAATCCTTTGACAGTTGTCGCCGTACATGGGGCGGTGATTTCATATTTGAAATTTCCCGCACAAACGCCATACCATGTGCAACCCGAGAGGTGTACGGTGTTTATAAAAAAAATTGGTTTGCTCTGTATGTTTATACAGCCTTGATGGAGATACGCCACGACGGGTAATCGGTCTCTTAGCCGTAGATGAGAAATTTAGCCAGTGCAGTACAACCGCTAACCTGGGATTTTTAACGTGCATCACGCACTAGTGATTACATGAACGCGTGCCGGTACGAAACTCATCCAGATCGAAACGGGCGGGGGCGGTGGGGAATCGAACCCAGGAGGTTCCCAGCGCAAGCTTTCGCTTCACACTCCGAGCTGAGACGCGTTATCCCACTTGATCCCCTTGTACGGTGTTTTGCTTTGCTGTTTCTATTTATAGTTTCAAAGTCGCTCATGTCAACTGTTCGGACGATAGTGGCAATCGGAGCGCCGGCTATTTAGGTTAAGATTTTTTCACACTATTCAATTATAAGTTCAGATGATGAGAGATTATCAGCCGATGAAGAAGCTTTGTAAAGTACCTTCGGTTCAGAATCAGAGATCCCCGGAAGGTCGCAGACGCTGGCATGTCAAAGTGAAATTGAATGAAAGAAAGGCGACATTGCCTCCTCAATATTCGCATTTGATGCTTCTCAACTGGAACAGCTTGCAAGTGCTGTTTGTGCTCCCATTAAATAAGATATAAAAAAATCCTGCACATTGATTCTTTCTTGGTCCTCCCCTTGAAAAACAAAAATCTTTTCTACAAGATTTCTACAAAATCTTGTAGAAAAGAATTGCGAAAGGAATTTAAGAAAAAAAAAAAGTTAAAAGGTCCTCAATAACGCACGCAACGTTTTCAAGGGCATGGGAACCAGAGTGTTCCCTATTTAAGGACAAACAGCTTTATGAAGACTACCGTATTGAGTCGAAGGAAAGAAGTTCTATCCTTCTCTTCTAAAGAGAATGCTTCTGCCTTCTCAACACGAGAAAGCAGACACTTATTTTTGCATATTTTAGCTTGCAAATGAGGAGGCTTTGATTATCAAATTGCCTAGTTCCACCGCCTACCTAAAGCCCACTAAAGATGAGCAATTCCCTCACCTCTTGAAAACCAGATGGAAGAGAGGATCCTTCCGCTTCATCTGAACTAAGATGTCGTCCAACAGGCTGTTCAGAATGGTAACATTGGTGGCGGTGACTTCGCTGTTCAGCTTGAGCGACGCATAGATCGACTGAAGCTGAGGCTTCAGCTTGGCGTTCAGATCGCTCTCAGCGTGGTCGAATGGCAGAGATAAACTTACTGTTAGGGGTCTACCAGAATTGGGTTCGTTTTCTCTGGTTCCCTGCACAGTGACATAGCAGAGACAATTTTAGCGCACTTCTAATTGAGGCGGCCATCCTGCCCTTGGCGCACCAGACATCCGAAATTGGCCACGGTAAACCTAGAGCCACTGAATGATCCAAGAGTAGAAGAACCTCACATGCTTCGGTTCGGAACGGCGGAGCAGTGCTTGAATATCGACGGCTACGGTGTGGTGGCACTCTGCAATAAGATTGAGTAGGGCAGACAAACCATAAATAGCCTTCTTCTTTTTTGTCCGATCGCCTTCCGAGTTTCGTCGAACTCTGAATAAATGTACTGTACCTCACCACGTTTTCAGAGTTCTAGTACGCGCACGTTTTTTTATATCTCGCTTAGTTCCTCTATAGCGCCGAGGCGCCCAGCCACGTCCGATGTCGTGCGGAACTCGGAGAACATTCACTGGCTCTAGGGGAAGTCACGTGAGGGACGAAAAATCCGCATGTTAGAAAGTGAAGCAGAGTTTTCTGAAGAAGCAAAATGTAGAGCGCGAAGCAGTTGGGTGGCGTGAACCGTGAACACCTGCTCAAAAGCGGCATGCGCTAATGGCTCGCACGCAGCCTATTTCAATGGCGCTTTCAATGTATAGACAAAAAGGAGTACTGTTACTTCAAAAACCACCAGCTAATGGCTCGTGGTTTTTGGAAGTACGAGCACTTCCGTTGCGTGAAACATCAAGAGAATAGTGGGGTTGACCACAAGCGTGGCTTTCCCAACTATGTTGGAACAAACTTACCCAAGTTTTTTTCCAACCTCTAAAATATTAGTCGAAGGCATTTAGGTTTGCTGTAAACGTGTCATATCTATGTTTATATGGTACCATAGGCGAAGCTCTGTCCACACAAATTTTCACCCGAGTTTTCTTCTTTGCAAGTGTCATGCCAAGCGGGCATGACGACGAATTGCCTGCCGTTACGCGATTACATATGTCGATATCGCACGGAGCAGTCGGTTCGTCAGTCAACTTATCAATTTTCTTCGCAGCTTCCGATCGATTTTCATTCGTCACCGGCGGAACGTTCTGGATTTCTATGTTGTGGTTTAGAGAGTATTGCTTGCAGCGCTAGCCGACTTGCATTCGGTTTAGCTTGTTTTTTTAAGGTTGCACATTCTTCGCGAAGATGAGCGTTTTCGGTTCCCAAACTATCATGTTCTTTTTTTCTTTTTTCTTCTCAACCCGTATTTTCTGAAAAAAAACTTGGTTGAAACTTTGGAGACTGACCTTTATCACTCCGAGTTCTTTTCGCATTTCTCTCTCGAAAGCACAACGAAAGCCTCTTAGTTCTTGCCATAACTCTGTTTTAATGTTTTCACAGAATTTAGCGAAGTCTGCTGTCATTGTACAACTTACTAAACAAGAACGCAGAAGAGCAAAACACTAAGTGGCAGCAGCGTCCGCGCTACAAGAGACAAACGGATATGCGATAAAAAGATTTGTTCCCAACCTGTAAACAGGAGCACGGCACGAGTTTCCTGCAACTTTTCGCTGCCGCCGCTGACAAAGAAAGTGTCGCCTCTCGAAGGCTCCCTTCAGCTGCTTGTGGTGCTGACATTTTTCTGCCAGCCTGTCTTGGTTTAATCCATGGCAGCTTATCCCAAAAAGCTGACGGTTCGTTCGGGAGAGGATCGTAGATGAGTCTGTAAACAGGAGTACGGGAGTCTTCTGCAACCTTCCGCTGCCGCCGCTGCCAAAGAAATCTTGTATCTAATCATGCCCAGTAAGCTTTTAGTGTAAAATGTGCACTCCATTGTGCACACTGCTTCATCAAGTGGCGTCCAACATCTACCTGCCGCTAACCTTCCTAAATATATCATGACAGAGCGCCAAGAAGCCGTCACCAAATTTAGAGGTCAGATGCTAGACATTGGCTGATCACCCTGCGACAACTTAAGGAAATGTACGCTGTAAAGACGAAAAAAATTCAGTGAAAAGCCAATCAGGTGCATGGAGTAGTGCTTATTGCTTCAAAAGTACGAGCTCGAAAAGGGACCTCACAGATCTCGACTCATAGGCAGCGCAATAAAGAATAAAACTGTACTTACGTCGCTCCCGCTCGTCGTCGATCCTTCGTACTCCAGTTGAACAACCGTTGATGGTAGGAATCTTGAAGTGCTTGACGATTTTTAGCGTAGCCGCGGTCAAAGAAGGCGCGAAATAGAGGAGCAGCGAAATGGAAAAACCGCGCCATCGGCTCAGATGGATGGATGGATGCTGAATAAATCCCAATGTCTGTACCGTGGCGGTGCCCTTTATATACATGGCTTGCACTGACGTCACATCCCATACCTTTGACCACCATGTAAGAGGAGGAGAGGGAAGCTGTCCTTGTAAGAATTTTGAAGGACGGGTTAATCTACTACGATCTTCTACAGGAGGTGAATAGCGACGTCTGTGTCGACGTGGGTGTGAGTCCCCGTGCTCTTCTTCGCGTTCGAACTGTTGATTCCAGATCTTCCTGGCAATGTCTGACTACCTGAGCGGCCTCAGCGAAATTACCGAGGCTCGTTACACAGCAAAATTTCGCGTGAATAATAGGCGCGTTAAGTCCGTGCTCCAGAGCGCCAGAGTTTGGCGCTCTTTTCACTCAACGGACAGGAGATGGGCCCGTTCACACACTTGCGTTCGGAGCGATTACTACGCTTACGAACGAATGCAACCGGTTGGAACGACGAGTTTCCATACCAGCGAAGTGCCAAACTGCCGTTTCGTTCGTGTTCGTTCGAAACGCAAGGAGTTGAGCCGGGCTGAATGTTTTCCTAACTCATGTTCACAAGCGAACCGGAGCGCCCCTGGCGGACGCCACCGGCGCCGCGCATGCACGATGGGAGTGTTGGCAAGAAGCTCGCTGTCGCCCATAAACAAACCACTAGAATGGGATGTTGTCGGCGTCGGTGTGAGTCCCCGCGCTCTTTTTCGCGTTGGAATTGTTGGTTTTGCGTCTTCCTGGCAATGTCTGACTATTTGAGCGGCCTAAGTGAAAATATCGCATCTCGTTACTCCGCAAAACATGGCGTGAATATTGTAACATGCGGCAATTCATTCCGCTTAGACGCCGCAGAATGGACGATACAGCCTTATTCACATGGTGAGGTTCTGCTCGTTATTTTCAGTCATAACGTCGCTCGGGCTGCGAAAGGCTGAACCGTAACTGAGATGTCGACGTCGATACTAAAAATTGCAAGCAGAACCAGACAGATTGAATCAGGCATAACAAGTCGGTGATGGCCACTGGTAACAATTATCAAGATATCCTTTTATCTACAGTTTACACCGGACCTACTTACCCGAAGCAACCTTCAAACTTAAACGTTTTTTGAGGTCTGCACTTCTTATCGGAATTACCGGTTCAACGCTTGGTCTACGGGCCGCTGTCGTTTGGACGAGCAGACGACAAGCAGAAATGTTTGAGTGAGTAGACGACAGCTCGAACGATGAGGCGGCCGTTTGTGTTTATGTGTTTATTTTTCCACCTTGTAAAAATACAAATGGAGGGGCTGTGGAGAAAAAAAAAACGCTGCGCTTAGCAGTTTGACGAGCCCACAGTCCCTGCATTAATGGCAAACAAACAGCACTACGGTGCAAGTTGGCGGTTTTCCCGCGTTCATTCTGGGAAAAAACAAATAAATCTGACGATCACAAGTATCCGTGAATTCAATCCTAAGTGCTTTCCGCCCAAGCAATCGTGGTCCGACGGCGTCTGTTTTTCCTTTTTCGCGGCCCCTGTTCAGGTTTTCTGACGAACCGAGCAGGCAGAAAACGCATAAAAACAGACCTTCAAACCTTTCCCGACCCTTTTGGTAAAGGCTCAGTCGCGGCGTTTTGACAAGAAGGCAAGTTTTGTCCGGTTTCTTCCGAAGTAACACAATAATGCACGTGCCCCATGGCCGCTTCCGCCCACAGCCTCAGACCGGAAGTGCGTCCGACGCGCCACCACCGCGCCGTGACGTAACAGACGCGAGTTCGGGAACGAAGGGAGCGACCACACCGACAGACAATCACAGGTCAGCGCGTTGCATGCCGGTGGTGCCGGTCGCGGTTCCTGCTATCTGCACACATAGCGTCGGTGGTGATCGTCGACGTGGTCGGCGTAGTGGAAGCTCATCGTTCAGCGGGAAAAGCGCAATCCTTAGGCGCGTGAATTCGGCCCTCCTTTACCTTTATCTGACCGCTCCGAGTTTCATATTCCGAGCGCTGCAACTACACGACGCATGGCGTACAGGAGCGCAAAATAACGAAACTAGGGACGAGCCGAACGAGCTCCTTCCGACCGCACGGTTATGGCGAACCCGTTATCTCGTGGATGCGGCTGGCAGAAGCCGAAATGATTTCGAAGCGAAAAATTAATTAGGCCTGTGTGGAGCGGCAGAGTATGAGACGGTGACGTTATGAAGTTTCTACGAACGTTTTAATATTTCTGAAACGTTTCAGGACTCTCTTCTAGCACATCGGTGAAAAGTTACCTCGGCCGACCTACCTAGTGACCGTGCATGCTGTTCAGATATAAATTTAAGATATCAACTTATTTGAACCCGCTTGTCCACGGAGGAAATCCTCAGCCTTGTCGGATATTTCGTAGTTCCGTCTAAAAGCACGAGACGGAAGCTGTCGATGTGGCCGATACCGGCACATCGTCATTCAATACACAGTACGGCAGTTCGTTTTCAGGCGAGAAGCATGAACAAACCTTTTCCGCGACGCTAATCGCAGCATCGCGCAGCCGCATAAAGGAGGCGCAAACGCGAAGGCGCCCGAGGGCGCCGATCCGAAACGGTCGGGCAGTCGTAGATAACGCGCTCGTTGCAGATGTCTGAACCAGAGATTGGAAAGCCGAAGCATCAGTTGGCGTTGCGGGAAAGCTTTGTTCATTTATCTCGGCTGAAAACAAATTCATCCATCGAACGGTAGCGTGCCGACCGCACAAGGACAGAAAATTTGTTCAGATGAGAAGACAGTCGGAACGCTGCTGCTTAGCCCAGCGAATC